GATTTGTGCGGGTTTTGACCAACATGGAGTTCGACGTCCGATTCACAGTTGTATATAAATCAGGATGCACCCTAAGCCATTCTATAGTTCCATTGGCATTTGGCTAAATTCATGCAATTAATATGCGTTTCACTACAACTTCAATATAATATATATATATATATATGCTCGTTTTATTGGAGCCTGGCCTAGACTCACCAAATTTGATTTGCAGCTAGCCGTGTAGAGTGCCAGCACTCCAGTCAACCATGTGGTGTGCACTTCGGCTATTTCAACTCTCTCGCTACATTTGGTGATAAGTTGTAGCATCATTGGTGCAACGGCTGTAATTGTTGAAGTCCATATTTTTAAATTCAAATAGGCAAAGCATTTGTTGCTTTCAACCAAGTGTTGATTCAAATTCTATCAATCGACTTGTCCACAAAATTACCTGGGACATCCTGGGAGTACGGGCATATTTTTTTGGGGGGGTCCGGCTGCTCTAGTTTTTGACAATGCCACGCCCTGGCTTTAGCATCCAGAAACACACATATTATATTTTATATTATATGGTTTTTATTTGTGCTTTTGGTTTCTTCTTCATGTTTCTTTTATTTGGATATATATATATATATGTATATATGTGTGTTTGTCAGTGAAAAAGCATGGCTTGGAGCTCAGTTTGCCACTATTTTGGTGTTTGAAGCTACTAGGAACAACGGCATCGCTAGTAGTAACAAGGGCATTACTACTAGTAGCATTCTCGCTATTAGGAACAAGAAGCTACTAGTAACTCCTGGCATCGTTACTAGGAGCAAAATACCAAAGTGTTCGGCTTCTCAGCCGCAGCTGCCCCAGCGTCTTCCTCACCCCAGACTTCACAGTCCCGTCCCGGGGTGACGCCCAGGTTTGCGGATGCCAGCATCCGCAAACGCCTTCGGGACTCCGTGGGGAAGCTTGGAGCCGATCGATTTGCAATGGTTTTGTAGCCTCTCAGTTGAAGGAACTTGCCAGAAACCCAGATCCAAGCAAGTGTCGGTGTTCCCTTGGACCAGGTGTTTTTCATGCCCCGCAGACAGGCTCACAGCATCGAACACAATACTTGCAATACTCAAATAGGAAGGATGCACAGGTGTTTTGGTCCGTGATCAGGCTACCTCTACCTGGTATCCTGATGTTTTCCTTGAGTGTTGCTCAGGTAGAGGTATACAAATTATACAAGCAAAATCTGAATCCTTTAATTTTGACCCTCAGGCCTTTTCCGAGGATGGTTGTCGAGTCCAGCTTTTGCTATAATTTGTTAAACCCTAGGAAGAAGGACGGCTACTAGTAGTTAAGTTTACTATTTTGTTTTTTTTTCTCCGAGATATATCTTCAACATTGATTTAGCAGCACCACTTCACCGACCTTCCCAAGCTTTTCGCCTTTCTTGCCGCTTTGAAACCCCACTCATCGGCTCGGTCGCAGACAAGGCCCGCTTGTCACACTGAGGTCACCGAGGCGCATAAGGAACAGAAGATTTTAGTGGGACCTCCTGCTGACGAGGTGGTGCGGATTTGCCCAGAGGACTGGCTCCGGCTCCGGGGAGGGTCGTGGGTCGTGGTGAGGTTTTGAAGGAAGGTGGAGATTCTTGTTTTTTGTCGGGGGGCGTTTAGGTAATAGCATGTTTGAATATGTTTGAATATGTTTCATGTTTGTCTTCAAGATGCTTCATGAAAGGGCACCATGTTCTGAGGGTGCCTGGATCATTTGAACCGATTTCCCTTTGCAGTGGGATTTGGCTGGTTTTTGCAGCTGGAATTAATGTGATCTTGATCTAAGGCCTTCATGGAAATAGAATAGGAGCAAGGACGCTACTAGGGGCTCCTGGCCTTACTACTAGGAGCAAGGCCGCTACTAGGAACAAGTGCATCGCTTCTAGTAACAAGTGCCTTACTAGTAGTAACAAGAAGCTACTAGTAACAAGTGCATCGCTACTAGGAACAAACCGTAAGCGAGTTGTTCGACTCTTTCAGGACGGCCGGGTGCTGGGCGCTGGGGCGGTGCTCCGCTTGGGTGGCGCCCACCTGGGCGGCTACGGCGAGTCGGACATTGCCTACGCCTACCGCCAGGCGCTGCGTCCGGGTCATGTGCCGTGCCTCTTGCGCAGCGCAGCGGCTGAAAGCGTTGAAGTGGATGCATGATGATGCATGATGTTGTTGATGTTGTTGATGTTGTTGATGTTGTTGATGTTGATGTTGCTGATGTTGCTGATGTTGTTGTGGTTGTTGTGGTGGCGGCGGCGGTGGTGGCGGTTGTGGTTGTGGTTGTGGTTGTTGTTGTTCTTGTTATTGTTCTTGTTCTTGTTCTTGTTCTAACATGAGAGTCCACTCTTTTCACTGTTTCTTCCTTTTGGATGCTTGGTCTCAACACTGTTGATTTTGGACCGAGCTCGGATCTTCTGATCATTTGTTTTGGGTGCCTGCAGTACCTCACTGCAGATCGCATTGGCCGATGGGCCTTGGCAGCCTGATGGCTTGAGCGGTACATTCCAATTTCAATTTGATGAGCTACGAGCTCATGGTACAGGAACGATCTCCACCTGGGAGTCCGGCCTATGGCCGAAGGGCGGCGCTACTCTCCGAGTGCGTGAGAAGAAGAAGAGGAAGAAGTTGTTGTTGTTGGTGGTGGTGGTGATGGTGTTGTTGATGATGTTGTTGTTGTCGTCGTTGTCGTTGTCGTTGTCGTTGTCGTCGTTGTTGTCGTTGTCGTCGTTGTTGTCGTCGTCGTTGTTGACATGAAGAGGCGTTGTCAAGGGCGTTTGTCAATGTTTGTGCATGGCCATTATTTCCAAGTGGGCAACTGCAACTCAACACAGCTTGACCAAGCACATCCCAAAGAGCTGGGAGCTGCATGGATCGTCGACATCCGATCGATTGGCTGGACAGCCATGCAGCCCTGTTCCCTGAGGCAGGGAGCAATTCTGGATGAATCTGTGCTGTATGGGTCATGTGAGTCAGATGGGTTCGGGAATGTAGACTGCTGGACGTGGGTAAGTATCGTGCTATAGTATGTGATAGGTGTGCCGCGGTGTCCCACAATCCAGAGAATTCCGTTATTTCAGGGTCGCCAGGACACCAAACACACCACAGTCATTAGCGCCCGCCAGCTTTCTCGAGCACTACATCCTGACAAGAATCCGGACCTGGACAAGGCAAGCGGGTGTCGCTGTTCTTGGCGCTGGCCTGTTGTCAGAATGTGTTGGCCTGTTCCTTGGTTCATTCCCACACGACCGATACAACCCGTAACAATCGATAAAACCATGGTGAATCCTTGAAGGTTCTCGGTTCTCAGTGTGTCGAATTCCTCCATCAATACGGTCGGTGCGTGGTGCGCGTGGCAACCAAAGTTGGGGTCATGGTTCCCAAATCACGTGGGTCAGGTACTGGGGGCTTCCCTGAGTGTGCTCATTTGCCTGCCCTCACCCCTTGGAAGGAATACTTATGCACCCATGTTGAATCGCAGCTTCCAAACCAAATTGGGCCTGAACAGTGCATCTGCAGATTTGGGGGTCTCAGAATTTGCCCAGACAAATACAGCAAATCGTTTTGTCACACAATTGTTGATTCTCGCCCCTCCAACCTACTAGCGATGGCCTCTAAGCCTCTAACCTAATAGCAATGGCCTCCAACCTAATAGCCATAGCCTCCAACCTATACCTTTTGGCTTAGATACTGCAAACTGTTGTTGTTCGGTTTAGCATGGTATACTGCGTTTGTTCTTGTGCTCACAAGAAGATTAACGTGCCGCAAGAAGATTTCTGCACTACCGGTTGGCCAGGAATCTCTAGCTGTCCAGTGTTTTACCACAACCAGTCAGAGCAGAGGAGGTGTTTACAGTGGATATCAATGCTTGCACTAACCTGAAGAATGCAAACCTACAGATTCCAACCAAGCCCATTTGAGCACAAGTTCAGGTCCGGCTTCCCATGTCCACCGTGTTTGAACCAAGTGGAAGTGTTACTCACAGAAACAGAAGTCACCAGATGTATGGTTGTCATACATCCTCCCACTCAGAGGGTGGGTCCTTTTAGGACATGTTCAAGCGTTTCTATTGGAGACTACTCGGAATGATGCGGAACCACAAAGAGATGCCTGGTTTTTCGGTCACATCCCTCTGGGAACTTTGGACCCAGACGCCAGGCACAGGCAGCTTTCCATCGGCTCTCAGAGGCCGACGGTGACTCTTTTGGGGAGTGAAGGTGACTCAAGGGATTTGTGAACATGTCCAGGTTTCTTGGTTTATTAGGCCATCGCTATTAGGTTGGAGGCCATCGCTATTAGAGTTATTATTCCTTGATACATCCCACTGCCTCGAGAGAAAAAGGCCGCTGGAACATGGATCGAGCTATTGCGCTGTTCCTTGATACACAAAGGACTGACCACTAGATGGTAAGATTGAGGAATGGAGCAAGAGGCACAGCAGGGCACTACCTGCTAGCATTTGCTATTAACGCAGCCAAAAGAGAGTCAGGTGCTCCCATTGAGGCGGTGAGCTTTTCGGGATGTTGGTTCGGGTACTGAAGATGGTCGCAGTTCTTCTAGCTGAAATAGACGTGGATAGAAATAATCGCCAGCCTGTTCCAACAATCTGTGAAATCATTGTGCAGTTTTGTCATCCCAAAACTGGTTCAATCAGTCTATCAAAAACAAAGGACTTGCGAAAACAAAAAAGAGTCACTGTTCCACAAGGTGGGGGTCTGGCAGTCGGGTGGCGGTCTGGCTGTTGTGTCCGTGTTCCTGCGCAGTGTTGCGCCGCAAGCGGCAGGCCTCGGATGAGCTGCGACAAGGGCTTCAAGAGCAGCGAAACGCCTTGAAGCTCATTGCTGGAATCTCACTGAGTCGACTCTTCTTTGGGAGGGTGGGATGTTCCAGACAACAATGCGATGGTGAGTTTCGTTTTTGCATTGCAGAAAATTTATGAAGATTTCATGTATGTTTCGCTTGGTCAGATCAGTACTTTGACTTTGTTCTTTTTTTATGATGTGATGCAGCTTGGAGTTTTTCATCCCAGTTGTCATCATGCGTTATACTAATTTAATACCATCAAATACCCACAGTCGCAAGCATGTTTGCCATTGTTTGCCCCTGCTTCCATTGAATCTGATTTGTTTCCACAAGCCGCTGTGTGAGGTTGGGGTCATGGGTGGAACAGCCACGGAGATGATGCTGGAACGACCGCAAGAGGTGGGGGAAACGCGAGATCAGAGCCTGGAGTGGCATTGGGAGCAGGGTCTCAACCTGTTTCCGGGGGGAAGCCCAAGCAAATCATAATGGGACTGCCTGGAGGTCAAATTCATGGACTGCAAAAAGCTAGAAGACCAAGGCTTGAGCTTTGACCTAGACCTATCGCGAATGAGGGGTATGCATCCTGCGTGAGAACAAGGCTGTTCACGATCGAACCCACCCAACCACCAACGGCTGAGGCGTTATTTGCAGAAGCCTCGCGGCTTTTGTGTTCCGATCTCAGAGGAGTAAGATGATTAGCTGCCTAGCTGTTTTGAAATGAAAATGATCAACTCCCCTCGGAGGCTTCCAAAAAGTAAACTTGCAGGATTTCCCCTGAGACTGAGCAACTGTTCTTTTTCCTTCTTCGGGACTGTGTCATTTGTTTCATGATTGGAATCGATTGCGATTGGAAATGTCTCAGACGAGCCACATCGTTCGCTCCATGTCGTTCTCCTCACTTGTGACGGGTCTGAGCCACGACCTGCGCGACCCTGGGAGCCCTGGGAGACTGAAACCGCGACGTTTCCGTGGGAGCTGTGCGACTTTGCTTTGAGGTGCCGTGTGCGGAATCGTGACAGAGGGAGAAGTGTCCCATGTTGCGCAGGCTTTCGGGAAGCGTGTGCTTTGATTGTTGGCGGTCTCCAGTCTCAAGCGTTTAAGTTTGCTGACACAAAGGAAACTCATATGCCCCTGAACCAGATGCCCAAGGTCATTGTGTGACTTCAACGTGTTCTTCACCTGTGGGTCACAGTCCTGAATGGCTGTCAACTTGCTCGCCTCGTTAGCTCATTTTTCTCCAACTGCGCATTGCCTGTTCCAGACAGACGCGGAGGGTTCCAATGAATCCGATTTTGCCCCCATCGAGCCTTGTTTCCAAACTTGGAACGGGTGGCCGAGCCTGCAGTCCTTACATGATCTTACATGTAAGTATTGTTCCACCGGGAGGTATTTACGGAAAGGACACGTACTCCCGAGAAGGCAAACACAAACCAAAGAAACCTAAGCATGGAAATGAACAACTGTGCCCATGCGAAATGCCACAACCTCAAAGAAACCAGTAAAGACATTGGCGTGTGAATTCAGCCAGTATGTTTTGTTCTATAGTCCTGGTTCCAAAATGTTCTTTTCCCAACCTTGCCAACCTCCAACCGGTTTGGTCCCCACATGCGGCCAGGGCAGGGCGCAGTTCAAGTTCCAGCCTTTTGGAGCGGAACGTGTGGGGAACGAGTAGAAGAAGGAGATCGACTGGTTTGGCCAATTGATCATGGGTCCATCATGGGTCCATCATGGGTCCATCATGGGTCCATGAAGATCTGAGATCCAAGAAGATCCAAGATTTGGGTTCTTCACTGAATCATTGAAATCATGATCCCACGAGAAGGTGCTTGGAAGAACTCAGAACATATTGTGTTGATCACGTTGACATACGGTGACATACGGTGGGATGGACATGGTGAAGAACGCACTGCGACGCACCCCAGATCTAGACATCGAAAGGTCCATGTTACTGGCCCCACGAGAAGGGCAATTGGAATTGTGGTATGTGTTGCCAAGATGTTGTTTGTGGGGAGACGGTTTTATGGCTTATGTTAGGGCAATTGCAGTCATGTTGAAGCCTTGTTTACAAGGTGTTTGCTGAACACACGTCACACTGAGAGGCCTCATACAGGTGTGAAGTGAATACGTTGCACTGATTTCTGTGAAGAACTAAGCACTGCCTTTTGCAGCTGAGCAAGCATCCTCGTTGAACATCACACCATCGCCAATCCAGGCACTCCAAGCTCGAAACTAGTAGCTCCTGGCACTACTACTATAGTAACAAGAAGCTACTAGGAACAAAGGGCATCTCTATTAGTAGCTCCTGCCAATAGGGGATCTAAGCTCCCTGGTCTTCGACCTGAGGCGGTCCTCTCGCATGTTCTACAGCTGTCACATGCAGACGCTGATGTCAGAATGGCGCGGAATCCTTTCCGGTGTAGTTCTTTTTGTTTGTAGATAGATGAATGTGCGAGACTTGGTGCAGTTCAAAGATAGATGCTTGCGAAGAAGGTAGGCCTCCCATCAACGGGTTTTCTTGGACCTGCCGCCCAAGCGATGCGTGTTCATCCATGCATATATGACGTTCACTAGGGCCTGATACTTTGGCTTCAGTGTCCAATGCATTATGCAAGAGGTCCAACTATATTTATTAAATGGATCACTCAGAATCCCAGCTAGTATCATGGTTTAGGGCCTAGGGTTCAAGCCCTTAGCCTTTAATCTTGTTTGGAGTCATGCCTGTGTGATCCTGTGTGGTGTATGTAAAGGGCCCCTTTTTTTGAGCACACTAGGAGGATGACGCATGTCTTCTCGCCCGCACACAGGTTCGAGAAGACATATTTGCTTGATCTTTATGCAAGTGTCCGGGCCTTGCCTCTTCAGACCTGGCACACTCAAGGAGTCCTGAAACATATTCCGACAAATGTGGCTGCCAGGAGGGCTATACTTTGGTCAGGGACAGAAGGATACAATTGTCGGACAACTGGAAGATATAAGAAGGAGTCTTTGGCTTTCCGCAATTTCACGGCTGTTGGCCCTGGATAGATTGACAAAGCTGAACTTTGGATGCCACTCAGTCCAATGTTGACTCCAATATGAATTGCCGGACAGAATTAAACAACGAGCCAAACAGTGTGGCGGTGCCTCAAGCTGAAAGCCTTCCTTCCTGGTGTTCGTTGCTCGTGAGCCGAACGGATTTTTGAGGCACCCATTCGGACGGCCTATGATTGCGTGAGAGCCTCAGAGGTTTGTTCTTGAACAAACAGTGGCGAATCTCCAAGGGATGGTCGCTTTGGAACGCGAAGCCAAAGGAAGCACAAAAATCAAAGGTTACTGGGTCAAGTAGTGATGCCAGGAGTCCCTAGTAGCGTCCTTGCTCCTAGTAGTAAGGCCAGGAGTAAGGCCAGGAGTAGCTTCTTTGCTCCTAGTAGTGAGCTTTACACAAAAGCTTTGTTGGGCATGGCTCCACAAATCCAACGCCTCCCCCTTTTTCGTGACGAACGACGCCGAGGGTCCAAGTCGATGCCACGAGCTCGGTCGGACTCGTGGCGTGTCGTGACTCGGCCGAGGCGCCCAAGTGCTTCCGAGCGCAATTCTTGTGCCTCCTCAACCGGGCCGCTTTGGCCGAGGCCTCGTGCGATATCCCAACCCCCTTCATCCGTCAGATCGGGAAAAGACCGGGCCCGGTGCTGCTAGATCAAGTTCGGTTTGGGGCAAAAGGGAAGTTTGTTTTTTCATTTTTTCAAAGCAGGAGCCAATTGAGCCATTTCAAGATATTTCAAGGCATTTCAAGGCATGAGCTTGTGGAGTCGCTGAGTGCTACGAAGCAAGTCAGGAGTCAGGACGAGTGAAATGGTAGAGGGCAGTGCAAGAAGAGATGAGTGTGTTGGGCTTGAATGAATTGTTATATACACGTTGAAAAGAGAGCAGGGAATGGCAATCGACGGCAAATCTTGCTGTGATCTCCAAGTTGTAGGCAAGGGACTCTGTGTTTGACTTCATATTTGCATACATCTTGGCCACAACAGCTTATCACGTTATCATAAAAGTCCCCAAATGGCATTGAGCTTCATGATCCTGACACAACACATGCATAAAGCGACTTTGATGGACTTTGTATTTCAATCAACTTGTATTTATAACATTACACCTATCAAGGGTAAACCACTTAGGTAAACCACAATCAACATACAACACGCTTTTCAGAAACCATTGCAAGTATTTGCGAGAACATACCCCAAATATGTCAAATTGGCCACCATCAAACCACTCTAAATTATTGATGAACACTTAATATCACTTAATTATCTTGGAACAATTTGTAACAATTATCTTAATGATCTTCGTGTCTCAATCTGCCCTATCAAAGGGCCCTATCAAGAGGCCACCGTCCGAGTCGCGAATCATCGACGGGAGGCCAAGAGATTTAACGACTGCGTGCGCGCGGGTGGGAGACTCAGATGGACTCTGAGTGAGGTCCACGGCGCTTCGCGGGGCTGCGCTCCACTCGTTTAGCCATTGGGGAATTTCAAGCGGATGTTTTAGCCTGAACTCAACAAAACACCAAAATACAGGATCAGTAATGCAGGATCTCAACTTGTTTGGAGCAGCAAGTTGATGTCGCAGGGCTTTGCATGCTGTTCCAAAGCCCATTTACACAACGCCTAGACGGTCAATGCTCGTAGCTGAGCACATAGTACAGTATAGTACAGTTGTTGGCCGTCTTGGAGGGTCCGGTAGCTTGACGTCATGTCCGTGGTGTGCAATTCGAGGAAGTTCCTCCACTGCATCCAAAAGATGCGGAAGACAACGAGAACATTGATCAGAACAGCAGCTTCATAAGCCACACCGCGTCGCCACGGGGAAATAATTCACAAGGATCCTGTGGGTATGCAGCACGTGCAGGGCTTGCTAATCAGCTTTTGCCCAGCTGATGTGAGCTCTTTGCACGAGGCGGCCGTATGTTTGTATCAACGCAGCAATGCAAAGAAATCAAGCAATGCCTGACACATTCATGGCATGGACATGCTTGGAACAAGGTATTTGGGCTTCTAATCTTGAAGAATGGATTGGTCTGTTTTATTTGTAGGAACACTGGCAGCCTTGGGCATTTTTGCCCTTGGTTTCAACGGCTACCACCACTCGGACGACTCAAAGGTCATATAGCTGCCTCTGGGTGGTACATTTTGGCAGGATCATTGTTTTCTTGCCTGGCTCTTTGGCTTTGGAGGGCAACAAGCAAAGTGTTCCTGGAGAAGATTTGCATTGAGCAAGAAGACCCATGCCTCAAAGCCGAAGGGGTCATGAAGGTTGTTTGAAGCATTGCAGCCAGATGTTAGTGTGTTGTGATGAAGCCGACCGCCTGAGATTGTGTTGCACCAATTGAATTTGATGCCTTTCTGAAATGCAGACCAGCTTCGCAACTACAAGTGAGGCGATTCCATGCAATTCCTGCGCTGTCATCCTTGCTTCTTTTTTCCTTTGCCTTTTCTGGCTTTGCGCTGGGTTCCTTGCAACCCTCCCTTCTGTTGGCCCTCGAGGTGGTGGCCTGCCTTGCCACTTTTTCGGCATGTTGGTGCTCCTTTCCTTTGGCATCCTACTAAGATGCGCCACTCATAATCTGCACTGGTTTTTGGCCTGGTGGCCATTGTTGCAACAAGGCTTCTTAGCTTTTGTCACGCACGCCTTCGCCAACGCCTTTCGGCGTTCTTTCAGATGCTTATGAAGGCTCGATTATCCAACTGTTCGCTGAATGCATCAATCCCTAGACAGCTAGACGATGGGAAATGATTACTGTTATGATCAATGGCATTTGTCAAAGACCGGGACTGATTTTCCTTGTGATCGGGAGACCATCAGCAAATTCATCACCAGGTGCATCGACTGTTTTCAATGGAATGTTAAAGCAACTTGGCAAGTACTCATTGCCATACCTGTGGATTGTCGGGTGCACAACTCCTTGTTTTTGTTTTTTTTTGATGAGCTCGTGATTGCAATGGAATTGGATGGCTGGAGCTTTGCATGAAGCACCCTCAATGTTGTTGGATGGTTCGGAGGATTTCCCTCTTTGTCATCGCCCTTGCATTGTCTCAGAGGCTCAGTAAATCCTACCGGCCATGTGTGAATGTGAGTCTGGTGCGCATTTATTCTGCAATGAACATCCGGCGAACGGCACGTTTTAATCGCATCGAAGGAAGAGCCGTTTTCGCTGCTTTGACGCGACTAATACTTGGAGCCAGCTTCCGAAATACAGATGTCGAGACCCTGGAGTCTAGAATGGAGAAGTATGCAATTGGTAATGCGGTATTCGTAGCGCAGAAACTCGGTGGCGCAGGAACTGGTAGGTCCTGGTAGGTTTGGGGAGCAGGTGGTGGTATCTCCCAATCTCCCAAACCCAGCGGTTCGAGGCAGCCAGTGCGGATGACGCACAGAGCGGGTTTTTCGCCATGCAGGGTGCTAAACGGATGACCTCTACTGGCATGTTGGCCTGGCATGGTGCAAAGGGACCAACGGAAGTGACGACCTGCAAACAATCACCACCTGGAAAGATGTATAGAAGAGCAAGTGCGCTCCATCGCTTTGGGCGGCTCAGGTTGGCCGAAGATCATGCAGACCTTTCCTGAAATGGGGCTGTGGCGTGAGCTACGGCAGGCGGTGATCACATGTGTTGTCTTGCTCCCATGGAAATCGTTTCTTCTCGTGCCATGTCATGTCAGGTATTCTCTGCGCATGTTGAGGGCTGTTTGAAATTATTGAGGTATTCGGGTGGAGGCCATCGCTAGTAGGTTGGAGGCCATGGTTATTAGGATGGAGGCCATCGCTAGTAGAAACAAAGAGTATAGTAGAAAAAAGAATTCTCTCTTTGTGCGTCTTCACTTTGTTGACCCAAACATCGTCCGTGTGCTTCGCCCATTGCAGACCCCCTTGCGCTTCAGACCGTGTCCATCTCGCTTTCAGGCCATCCATGCACGTGTGTGGGACACCAGTGGTGAGCCGGTGCCTGAAATACAGGACCGGCGCAGCCGCACACGCAGCCCAGAATGAGATGATTCGGATGATTCGATACTATCATGGTCCAAACTTTTCAGTACTAATGAGACGGCAGAACGTGATGAACCTACTATTCAAGGGTCTTCCACCCACGGCCACCGATGCAAGGGCATCGAAGCACTGCGGTTCGGTACAGCTGTTCTTAGTTGGTGGTGGTTAATTGTGCTAGTGATATATATATATATATAACTATAACCTAGGTTACACGGGCAACTTTCAATCCAAGCGCAAACGTTTAGCAGTTTGGAAGGTGCAACACACTCCACATGTTGTGGCGAGGTCTGCAGCACGCAACCCTTACAAGAAACACTGCCAAAGACCCCTCAACGCTGCTGTTTGAGCTAGGCCAAATCCGGGGCAACGCCTTTCCCGGAAAAAGACATGATGGTCCGAAGTAAAATGGGTAAAGAATCTACACTTTTGTCAGTTGGCAACTATTTGGTAGTGCGACGGCAGACTGACATCACCCAAAGCTCTCCCTGTCAGGAACACGCTGTCATGTGCATAACCCCGATGTGCATAGTTTAATTTACCAAGATAGGGGCTTGTGGAGGGCATAGTCCACTTGTCATGGATTCGCATTCTCAGCTCGCAGGAGGAAAACCCAACGGAGGAGACCAAGAGGAGCCCTGTTCACTTGATGCGGTGCACGAGCATCCCACGATTTTATTTGATGCACATAATACAACTAGTACTAGTAGTAGTAGTAGTAGTTGTTGTTGTTGTTTGTTTGTTTGTTTGTTTGTTTGTTTGTTTGTTGTTGTTGTTGTTGTTGCTGCTGCTGCTGCTGCGGCTGCTGTGTTTTTGTTTACAATTTACAAACTTATACTCAGCTACCCACATACAGCGAATTCGTTGGAGTTTTTGTGAGTTGTTCGATTTCCCTTTCCGCCAAAATAAAATTAGACGGAACTAAATGTTGTGCCTCCCAAGGTTGATCTAAAAAACGCATTGAACACCTTTTTTACTGTGGGGTCTCTTTGAACCCATGTCCCATTGCCATAGAATGCCATAGAACTCCGAATGACCTCAAAGCCCCTCTGTTTGAAAGCAGTTGTGGAATGCAGCCAGCCAGCAAGGAGCAAAAGCAGGAAGAGGACTGGGTATTGATCGTTTCTGAGTTGGACCCATGTGTGTTCTTTTTTTTTTGTGTGTGTGTGTGTGTCCTCCTTGAAGTGGTTGATAGCCTATAGCATCACAACCTTGTGAATCCAATGACAGAATTGGTGATTGCATGGGGTGTACTCCTTGTGTGGGTGTACGTTGCCTCCAACCCAGAGCAAGAGATATTAATAGGCCACTGACCAATCGAACACACAAGCAAGCTCAGCCAACCATTTGGGCAAGTCCTGCATGCTTGGTACCCTCCAAGCCAACAAGCCAATGCCGAAGCTCCGAATCCAAACATTTCGAAGTGCCTATGATGCAGGCAAGAGCCATCCAAGAGCTGATGCGATCCAACTCCACCCTCCCCACTGGAGCCTCGTCCAGGAGCCGGTCCCGGAGCCGGCGCCGCAACCGGGACCGGGACCGTGGCCGCGGGAACCGGCGGGAGGACGGGACCTACGAGGCGGAAGGGGTGATGGGAACGGACCCATGGAGATGTTGAGTGTTTCAGTGGAAAAATTATTGAACAAGGAGCCCCTAGTAGCTTCTTGTTACTACTAGTAAGGCACCTGTTACTACTAGTAAGGCACTTGTTCCTAGTAGCATTCCACTCATCCTCATTTGCCATCATTTGCCTAGAAAGTCCACGGATGAGATTCGGCCAGAAAGTGACGGACATCTCCAACTTGAATGTGTTCAATGATGTTCAATGTATATAATTATGTCAGGGAACAGAAAACAGCTGGAGAGAGATGAATGTGGTTCGGGAGTTTGGCGGGGAATATGCCTATAGACAGTCGATCATGTTCAATGTTCACAGCGAGGTTCTCTGTCTAGTGTATATGTGAATCTCAAAGATGGGAGTTGCTTGCATGATTCGGATCTCTCATTCATCCCACGGTTTTAACTGCGGCTAGCTGATGCGTGGCCATGCGGAATATCCCAGTTGTTACTTGACTTCTAAACCCAATGGCTTGCCCGGAAACAGAACTACTCTTTAATGTATGTTAATGTCATTCCACCTGGTCTACAGTGTGATAGCATTTGTTCCGCTATCAACAGGCACGAGTGAGGATGACCATGTTTGACCATGGGGGACCCCCGACCACCGCGAAGATCGACGATGGCCGCCGCCACCGCGATGATACCAATTGGTACGAGCGAAATCCCATCAGCGGTCGTTCACTCAGTTTCAAAGGCGGGGTGAATCTTTGGAGAACTGGCACTCAAAAAGACCGTCAACCACTGCTTAAGAAGAGTTGCTTTCTTCGGAGAGGAGACATTGCTCACATATGTTCTTGGTTTGGTTTGGTGTGTTTATAGGACTATATACACTTATAGCAACTTGGTTGCATCAACAAACTGTATACCTCGGGGCCTTTTTGTAGCAAGGACTTGGCTGAGTCTTGAGCCATTTCATCAGCTGAGGTCGCGGTAAGGGGCCTTTGGCAGTTGGCAGACCCAGTGCATGGAACAGGTATGAGGGGCAGTGCTGAGACATGCTGAAACAGCTGCTTTTCTTGTCTCAAGTTTCCCCAGAAACTAAGGCACCACAAACATGTTGTGTTTGTGTCTTGGTTTTTGTGTACCATTCTGCGATAGCACATGGCATTTCTCTGGAGTTTGCAAGACACTGCTATTTTGCAGACCGTTTGCCACTGCTCCCGACTTGAATCGTTTCAGTCCGCAACTCACGATGTACAGTACTACTTGAGTCAGACAAACTAGAACTACACACCTCACGAAGCTCAAGTTTGTTTTCAAATACAGACATCGATTCTTTCAGCAAATGTCCCGTCAAACCATGTCGTTATAGCGTTGTCGCTTTTTCCTTTTTTGTCGCAGTGCCCCTTGCACTCCCGGTGTTCGGAAAGGGCTGACAAGCACCTGCCGAGGAAAGGGAGCGGAAACGCGACCTGGCCTGGGAGGTGGGAGGATGGGCGAAGATCAGTCATGAAACGTCCAGCAGTTGAATTTCATTGAGCTTCTCAATCCTCAAATAATTAATGAGGTCCACAAGTCCAGCAGTCAATCAAAAAGATGGTGAATGTATGACAATAGGTGCCATTGATTGTTCCTTTAAAGTTGTGTTTGTTTTGTTGGCACGGTAGATGTAATTGTCCCCGGCAATGAGGGGTTGGTACGGTATGTTGGGCTTATGGTTAGCTGCACATTGGTCATCTCGCTTGGACTCCGGCTCCTTGTTTGCTTGCCCTATTGGAATGTTTTGCTAAAGGCAACGTGAGGCAACATGAAGAGGCAGTACATTGGGCATTTGGACTCCGAAAGAGTAGAGTAGCTTAGGAATGTTCGAGATGATCGAGAATGGTGTTAGATCAACATGCCCAAGTGGAACATGGACACTTCGCGTGAATCAGGGAGCATGTCACTGGAACTCCACGTATCTCCATGCACAGAGCTTTCTCCAGGCCCGGTGGACCGCCAGTGAAGATGATGGCCCAAAGCCAATGCGGGCTCAGGACACGGGGTTTGGGGTACCACCCTGCGAGCTGCTTTGCTTCCAAGAGACTGCAGTGGTGCTTCCGAGAAGTCAGGATGGCTTTTCAGCAAGTCAAGGAGCCCCTAGTAGCGTCCTTGCTCCTAGTAGTAAGGCCAGGAGCCCCTAGTAGCGTTTGGTGTCATTCTTAAAGAGGGCTCTTTGCGAGTTTCCTATCACAGTTAACATGACCTTATTTCACCCATTTTCACACTACCGGGTACTGTCGATGGCGGGTGCTGTTGCAGTTCGACACTCACCTCGCAGTTTCCGAGTGAAGGGATTGGTGAAAGTTCACTCGAAACAAAGAGGTGGAAAGAAGTAGAACTGAGGCCAGTGTTCCGGGGATCGAGAATGTTAGTTGTGTTGCAACTCCAGAACCGAATCCGAATGAATCCAAGGCTTCAGGCATTGATGAACCGTTCATCTCAATGTGTCTTCAACACAAATAACATCAAATAACAAAGCAGCAAAAAATGACCATAATAATGCAACAACAGCTTGGCAAACATGCGCGCGGTCTTAGTAGCCAAGTAGCAAAAAATGTATGTATAGATGATTATAGATGCATATATAGCCAAGTAGCTGGTGACAGGAGGAGCCTGAGGAGGAAGTGGGCCGAGACCCACGGGAGGTCATAGCGGTTGGGGCCTCACGTGGCTGTGACTCGTCACGTGGCTGTGGGAGTCAGGTGGCTTCTGTGAAGGTCGACGCCATGATGTCATTGGCAACCTGCAACCTGACATGACATTTGTTGGCAACCTGTAGATCTTTGATCAAACTATCCGAACATATTCATGCTGCAATTTCAGTGTTCAACCTTGAACTCTGAGGCCTTTGAACATATTTTAGCAGGTTTTTAAGGCCACTGTCCTGCAAGCAGACCAAGCCAATTGGCTTTAACCGCCAAGTCCACCGGGCAGACTTCCTAGGTCCACCCCTCGGGTGCCCGCGCCTGCAAGTGGGCGCGGAAGTGGCGCTCGGCCATGGCAGCCATCCTTCCCAGCGGCATTGCAGGGGACCTGATGGGGGGGACAACATGGGAGGGCCTTGGTGTTTTTCTGTTGTTTGTGTTGTTTTGGGATGGTTTCTTGGCTTTCAGGTAGTAGCTAGAAGCTACTAGTAGCGATGCCCTTGTTACGAACGTAGCTTCTAAGCCATTTCGGTGTGATGTCGCGACTTGGGATGCCACTGGGGCCTGAGGATGCCACAGCGCCCTTGACGGACACCGACGCCAGCTGGGCAGCAGGAGTTCAGGTTTTTTCAACCCCTTGGAACAGTCACAAAACCAGAACAGATATCCAAACAACAATCAACATGAAAGATAATGTGGGATTGAAACAGTTTCTCTAAACTCTAAACTGTTCACAAAAAATGGTACTTTGTGTTACACTCCGAATTCAGTTGGACAGCAAATTCAACACGTGCAATGGGTTTGGGTGTTGAGAAGCCGATCGCTTTTCCAGATAAGAAGAGGAAGTATGGCTGTTTATGATGTCATAGCCTCACGAACAGGACAAAGGATCTCCAAAGGGTTCGTCCAGAGTCTCCAAAGGGTTCGTCCAAGAAGCTTGGATACGGAAGGCTTTATTGTCGGTACAGAATCCTTGCAGAAGACAGGAATCACATGTAGTAAGTACTGTTGAAAGGCTTTTTGCTTCCAGGCCCTGTATTCACCTACGACATGCAAACAACTTGTTTTCTTTTATATATAACTTTAGATAAGGTCCATGTGGCCAATGGGCCAACAAAGGCAATACTGTAGCAGTTTTGCTAGTGCGGGAACGACCTGTGCCAAGCAGGCCAGCTCTTGTGCAAAACATGAAAGGTAGTGGGTATGTCATTGGCACAAGGAAGAAGAACCTGCTATAGTATAGACACAAGTACTGGGCTAAGACCTGCCTGCTAAACTGGGCAGTCAAAGACCTACATTAACATATGTAGAAACTATTATAGGTATTGTTACTAGTAGCTTCTTGTTCCTAGTAGTAAGGCCAGGAGCCCCTAGTACTGGTAGCGTATTTGCTCCTAGTAGCGATGCCCTTTGCTACTAGTAGCGTCCTTTGCTACTAATAGAAACAGAATAACTCTTGACCTTCCTCCGTTTTTCGGATCCTTGTAGCAGGTGAGAAAGCTGGGCTTGCTGCTTTGGAAGGACCGAAGGGATGGCAGTCCAAACAGCAGGCCGAAGCATCAAAAAAGCAAAGATAATAGAGTGTTTGCAGCCAGTACTGTACTATACCTGCAAATACATGAAACATCATAGATTGGACAAGAACCACATCAGATGCGGTTCTTGTCCAATCCCTTCAGTCTTATGAGTCCTCAAGTGACCTCACCATGACTCGCTGCCCGCGAGGACATCGCAGCGTGGGCCCAGCGAAGTGAGATCAGCCGCTACCTGGGCCTCTTCCGTCGCTTGGACGAGTCGTGCGGATCAGGCCCTCGGATCAGCCACGGCGACGTCCCAAGTTCAACTAGGGAACACAAGGCCTGACATGAATTTGCTATGGTTTCATAGCTGCACTCTTTGAAATCATGGAAACTGACAAGGTGGGCGGACAGATAATTTTGGGTGGTTTGTCAGTTTCTATCTTGCTTCATCGGAGGGTGCAAGGTTTACATTGTAAACTAGGGCAATTACACTATAGAGATCACTATGATCATCCAATGTGTTTGCTGGGCATTTGTGCTCGGCGTTTGTGCTGCGGAAAGAGAAAGAGAGAAACGTGAGGGACGTTGTGGCCAGCGGAGTCCACAGATCCGGCCCGGGAGAGTGGGAGAGTTTGCATGAAGACTCGGAACCAAAGAGAGTCTGATCATTTGATCATGCTGTCCGTTGTGGCCGTATTCAATGGATCAGAGCTATTACGGTAGTTAGGATGCTACATACACGACAAAGTCTTTCACTGGAACAGTGTGAAGTCTCAGAGAAAGAGCCACCACCTCTCCGCCCTTGTCCTGCAAGCAGGATCACAACTCACACGAATGGAGCACTGGACTATTGGATATGTTTCAACGTTGTTTCATCAATCTTGAGGGTTCAGGTGATCCCCTCCCTCTAACAAAGAACCTCATGAGAATCAACCGTGTGTTTGGTTGAATCGCTTCATTGGGCACCCATGATGAACCAATCCGACGAACGGCCAGGGAAACGCACGTCGCGAGGCTCGTCCGCTGCGCCGCTCTGAGGAGCAGACCATCAGACCTCGAAGACCTTCGGATGGGATGGGAAGGACCGAAGACGGATATCTTGCTCCTACTAGCGATGCCCTTGTTACTAGTAGCTTCTTGCTCCTAGTAGTAAGTCCAGGAGCCCCTAGTAGCGTCCTTGCTCCTAGTAGTACGGCCAGGAGCCCCTAGTAGCGTCCTAGTTTTGTTTGCCTTCATCCGCGAGGTCCTTCTTACGAGGTCCTTCCGGAAAAGACGTTTTGTCTTGGTTCGTTCCGGAAAAGACGTCGTCGTGCGTCAATTCATTTGGTGAGAAATTGACTCAGTGGCATTTCCATGGAACATCAATTCGGAGCTTTGGTTTGGGAGAAAGTCGCGAGATTGCTTGTGATGCTGATGATGATGGGTCAATGATGGGTCAATGGGCAAGGCGACACTTTCTATATGTTGAAACGAAACATGTTGGAAGGTTTGTTTCAGTCTGGCCATCAGACTATATCAGACTAAGTGTGCTAAGTGTGAGGCCGTTGGGATTGCCACTTGATGCCGTGCCCACATATTGGACACGTTTGGCATTGTATGTTCGAAGCGCTACTTGCATCCCTGACCTCAAAAAGTACAGTATCCATTTTGGGAGAACAACCTGTTATATCAGTTATCTTATCAGTGAGGAGATGATCTGTAGTAAGCAACAATTCATTGCCCGAGCAACTCATATTGCCACAGCCAACTGCTGATGAATGCCTTAACAAGAGCTTCTTGGTCGCCAAGCAAAATGTTTGTCTCCCAGTAACTCACAATTCAAAGAACATGTGTTGTATCTCTTGATCACCCAATTCCATTTCAGTACCAGGTCACCGGTCCTTTTGAGACTGTATAGTCATCCTGAAGTACATTGAATAAGGAACATGTAAATCATGCACATCACGTAACCTGTCCCTGTTGCTTTTGACCTGAACCAACACCGCCCACATTACAACACATTTAAGTTGTTGCATGCACTGCTTCAGGCAACGTCTGCTTTTATCAACTAGTGAACCTACAAAGGGGTCTAACGGTCCAACCAACCAACAAGCCATACCAATAACAGATCTCACTGATGTTCATCCCTATTCAAAATACTCCAACCAGCTCGGGAGACAGAATGATCGCTTTGGAACACTGATGTCATGCCCCAGCTCTGCTGTAGGAAATGCCTAGCACTCGTGGCTTGGAGCCAGCTCGCGTCCCGCCAGAGTGGCTGGGGGCCTCAAAAAGACAGGAAGCAGTGAGATGAGGAGAATCACTGGGAACCGGTGTGTGTGTGTGTGTTTGTGTTGTTGGAAGACTAGTGAGATCAGAGTCATAGGTTTGGCATTGAATTTGTCCCCGAAGAAAACGAGTTGTTTTGCCTTGTCGAGGTGGTTTGAGTCGAGGTGTCTATTGATTTGCTGTTTATTGTTATTGTATAGGAACTTATGTCACAGCCTAGCCAATGAATTGGAGGATCAAGCAACCAGTGTGGGTGGACACGTGGATGAGAATGCTCAACTTGACAACTGAAAGAGGATTTGATAGTTGATCCACTCTGATCTGAAAGGAGATTTGAATCATATTTGATCCACATTCTGTCGTGTGAGATCTATTTATATATGTAGTGTTACTACTAGTAAGGCACTTGTGTCTAATAGCGTGGCACTTGTTACTACTAGCTTTTTTGTTACTACTAGTAAGGCACCTGTTACTACTAGCGATGCACTTGTTACTAGTAGCGTGTACGATCAGACTCACCAGGTCCTTCGTGCCTGTCACGGACTTGTTTCTGGTGGTGGGAGAAGGGCTAGCGAGGGCCTCGGAGGGCTGACTGTTGGGTCGTTTAGTGACAAGGCTGTGGGCTGTGAAAGGATCTGTGCCGTAATCATTAGCGTCTTGAACGCCGGACAGGGACCATGCGTCCTTGTTCCTAGTAGTAAGGCCAGGAGCCCTTAGTAGCGTCCTTATTCCTAGTAGCGATGCCCTTTGCACCTAGTAGCGTCCTGTTGGCTGGCTTCAGAATGCTTCAGAGGATCCATCAATACCAAAGAGACGACCAGAATCACCGCATTGGCCCGTGCCATCCAGTGCGCGCAGCGCGATGCATGGCTTGGTGATTAGCTGATGGTGAGGTGGGCATCACCACGGAAGGCATCTTCGGGGACTTGCCGAAGGGCACCGGAAGAACAAGCCGCTGGGCAGACTGGGCAGGGAGTGGAAATGGACCAGCGGCTGGTGGTGCTTGATGGAAGCAAGAGACTGGGACCGGCTGGAATCAAGTCGTGGGGCATCAATCATCTCAGGTTGTGCAACTTCAGTAGTCCTTGGCGTGAAGTGGACATGCAGAATGACGACTCAGAAAGGGGTTTCGCCACTGCCCCTGCTTCCTTCATGAAGGTACACCTCAAGAGTAGCTCCACAAAGTGCACATGTTCGCCCAGGCTTGAGGGAATGTTATAAGAAGCACGGCCCTCAGATGAAGCATGCCCAAACGTGGGCTACTGGGGATGCCCACGCCGTGATGCCAAGCTCAGATAGCAACTTGCACCCACTAAGGAATTTGCACATTGTAGGACGAAGTGGAGCACAAGGAAGTGGTGTGAAGTATTTGATGCACAAGACATGCGGTACTAAGAGATGTTCTGCTAAGCGGCATGGTGCAAAATGTTTCTTCGGGGCCGTCTGTTGGGTTTCGCTTGGCCGAGGGAGAGGTTGATGCTACGCCCAAGTAAAGGTGTTGCGTGTTGCTCTGCTTTGTGAGCAGGGCTACTGTTTGGCTCTTGAAGTGGAATTCAAAGAAATTGCTCGGGCAGTCCCACCAGATTTGGCCATTTCTGCTGGAGAGTTGTCTTCCTAACAACCCTTTGAAACGATTCAGGGGTCTCCCTGCCAGGTCAAAAGCTGACTGCATTTGCAAGCTTGCAGAAACTTGCTCACTAAGGCTGCCAGGAACAGAACTTGCACCCACCACATCGTAGTTGGCTTGTGAAGACAACAGGGACCTTTGCAAGGATGGCCACGATTGCTGCGAATGGTTGAAGGATGGAAAGGTGCTCACACTGCCAAGTTGCAGACTCTCAAGCGTGATGTCACTAGCCGCTAGCCTGCTTGGGAGCTCGTTTCGGGACAACAGGCTCAACAGTTCGAGACTCAGTTCGACTCCTAAACGAGAACACAAGTTGCCTCATCGGCTTCTCTTCTTACCAGTAGCTAGGTCCCTCCCTTGGGTTCCAAGAGTCCTGCAACTGGCGCTGGCACCCACACATGACGGAGCCGGACGGACGGAGCCTCTTCCGACCTCGACCGGTTTAGCGAGAATGGCGGACGACAAGGCGAGAGAAGGAGCCCAAGGATGCGGTCAGGGCCTTGGAATTGGCCCCCAGCGACCTGCGGCCTGCACTTGTGCGGGCGAGCATCGGCTATTTTTTGGAGCCGTAGGGCCGTACCCACATCATTTGAAAGGAACAGCATGAAAGCATGATGGGAGTCCATATCATTCCATGATTTTTTTCCCAGCCTTGAAACATCTCAGCTTCGCTCAGCTGTGCTGCTGTTTTCGTTTGAAGGTTGACCGCAATGATTCGGTGGAGCCACCATGAAGCAGGCCTAAAGCAGCCAGCCACGATGGAGGAGCTTCCAGTGCTGCCCTCAGGGGGTCCGTGTCTGACAGTCTTCCTAAGTCGCGGCTAAGCATGGATGAGCCTTCAAAGTGAGAAAGCTTTTTAGAATTTGTGCCACATCTTCTATACATATATATATATATAGATTAAATGGGAAAATAATGGAACGTCTTCAATTTGGAGTAGTGCAGAATCTTCACCCATTGGACTGTTGCTGCTTTGTCAGAATATATGTCAGAATGGGAGTTGGATGACAATGATAGCGAGCACTAAGAAAAAGTATGTGGATCCAAACATAGTTTTGAACAGTTTTGAAACAACCGAAGCTTTGTTCAGTACTCATAGAAGCGATATGTTGGACTCACACTCCGGTTACCATGAGTTTACTTCCTCTTTCGCTCGGTCTTGAATTGCTCGACATTCAAGTTGAAAAGCAAAATCGAATGTTCGGAAGAGACCCCACAAAATTGTTCAAAAATGGTGAAAAAAACAAACATGTGAAACACCATTGTCTCCATGTCCAGCCTAACACCTTGGCCCCCCAACCCCGCGCGACCGTGGCCGCGGAGCCCTGCGACGCGTCGGCTGGTCCATCGTTGCTTCAGTCCAAATGAGACCTGAGCCGAAAAGGGTAGAGTTGCAGCTGTAGGCCGCGGAGGAAGCCTTTCGGATCTATTGCGAACTCATCCGAGCAAGACATAGGGGTTGGCCCATCGCAAGTGCCGTTTCTTTTTGGAGAACTCTATTGATTTGTGGCCGGGAAACACTACACCATCACAAACCCAGACGTAGCAACACGTTGCAAATCAAGACAGCACTCAGGGTATGCTGTCCAGAAGCCTCTGGCTGCGACAAAATCGACTGCGCGCATTGCACACGCACCGCTCGACTCTTTTCGACTGAAGCAGGGTGATACAGGGTGTTTACAAAGGCATCTTGCCACCTTCAGGTTGGTGAATGATCTCAAATCACTCAGAATATCTCAGAATGGAGTCTTGTAAGAGTTTGTAACAGGGGCTCAATACCGTCAGGGTCCTTTCATGTCAAGAGTTGGGCAAGGGTCCGGGGTGAAAACTTGGCTTCCAGAAGTTCGGTTTGGTTCAAAGGGAAGCAGTGCTGGGTCAATCAAGGTGGCAAGACACTATCTCCACGTTTAAATAAACTATACTATATAAACTTCACTTGATCAGTGCGTTGACACAGGCCGTACTACTAGGAGCAAGAAGCTACTAGAAACAAAGGGCATCGCACAACGTCTCCACAAAAGAAAATTACCACAGACCAGACTTCAGACATGTTCAGACAACGTCCACTGGTGCACTGGTGTCGCTTCATGTGTGGCGGCGTCTCACAAAGGATACCCTGGTGTATGGCCAAAGGATCCGACAGATCTGTTGCATGTAGCGTCCGATCGCTCCGTTCGTAGCGTCGTAGCGATGCCCTTTGTTCCGTTCGTAGCGTCCTTGTTACTACTAGTAAGGCACTTGTTACTAGAAGCGATGCAATTGTTCCTAGTAGCTGTTGATGAACGTCGCTCGTCATCGCACAATCATGACATGTACATCTCATTTTGAGTGTGCTTTACCTACCGGCCTGACACAGGCTCAAGAGTCATGACTTTGCAGGCAAAAAGGCGCTTGCACTTGCTGTTTTCGTTCATGCCGTGAGCAGTGCTCTCACATTGGTGCCGCGGAGCGCTGGGAAAGTTCCAGGAAATGAAAGGCGGTCGAGTTTGGCAACCTTGCGAGACCGCCTCACCGTCTGAGCCCAAAGATCTACCTGCTCCTGAAGATCCATGGGCCTCTTGGCGAAAGAAAGGAAAGGGAAAAGGGAAGGACCAGGATGCCAAACCTTCCACCTCGGCTCCACCGACTCCTTCCGGTGGTACCTCGAGTGCCGGAGCCGCCGTGGTCGCTGCCCCGGCAAGTGCCGACCATGAATCCTGGCACACCGAGTCTTGGCAGGAATCATGGGAAGATGGACAATGGGCCGCTGAAGACTGGCCTGAGGAAGGTTGGGATCCCGCCGCATGGGCGGCTGATGATGCTTGGCTGTACCAGCACTATGGCGGCAGACTTTTTTTGATCCTTCGAGCACGGGATGGGACGACGCCGCTTGGGAGTCGCAGTCACAGGGCTGGTTGTCCGATGCTCAGCTTCGGAACTTCAACACGGCACCTTTAAGCCCGGATGACCGCGACCTCCGATGGCAAGTGGCTTGGATCTTTCCACCCTGCAGGGCAGTTTCCTGGCAGAGACTGGGACGGCACGCCCTACACGACCGAGGCCTTTAAGGACCAGCAGAAGCCGACGGAGCGGGTGAAGGTCCCCTCGTTCGACGGGGGCACCACGGATGAGTCCAATCCGGAAGCTGTGGGCAAATCTGCCCGTTCGTACATCAGGCGTGTTCAGGCCTGGTTGAGGGTGACAAAGTTGCCGCCCGCTCACCGAGCCCTCGCCTTGTACGATGCTTTGTCTGACAAGGCTTGGGTGGTTGCGGAAGAACTGGATCTGGACGTGTTGAGCACCTCTCATGGAGTCCCTTGCTTCTTGGAGTGGGTCCAGACCAGGTTCATGGATGTCGAGGTCAACAAGATCTCTCAGCTCATGACGGACCTCTTCCGGCGGTGCAAGAGACGGCCGGAGCAGTCGGTCCGAGAGTTCAATGTGGAGTTTGAACGGATGGTCCTTCGCCTCCACGAGATTCGCTGCGAGTTGCCACCATTGGTCAAGGCCTGGCTCTACGTTGACAAGCTGCGTTTGAGCGAATCGGAAGAGCTGGCGCTTCTGGCTTCAGTTGGCAACGAGTATGATGTCCGTAGGCTACAGCATGCCGCTTTGGTGCAGGATAGGACCCTTCGCCATCGTGGACCCGGAGGGAATGACCATGTCAAGAGCAGCGGCAATCGACCTCGTTGGCGCCAGTCAGTCCACATGACTGTTGACGGTGCCACTTCGGACGAGGAGGAGAAGGCCGACAGCGAGACCTCCGTTCTTGTGGACGAGGAGACGGCCCAGGCAGAGCACGTGGCCTACATGACCTATCAGGGGGCCAAGGCCAAATACCGAGAGTCGCTTCGAGGTCGTGGCACTGATCCTGATGAGCTCAAGCGACGATCGGAGGAACGTCTCCGCCTCGCTAAGCAGAGATCGTATTGCAGTGCTTGCAAACGTCGAGGACATTGGCACAAAGATCCCGAGTGCCCTCTCAAGGGGCAGAGAACCACCACCACCACTGCCAATGTCTCTGGCCAGGTACAGCAAGCTCAGGTGTGCCACACCGTGCAGGAGTGCTATATGACGGCCTATGAGGACACCTCGTTCCCGGAGTCCCCCATGGGTGGCCTCTCTGCAGAGAAGGGCATGCTCGCCATTGTGGACACGGCCTGCACGAAGTCCGTGGCGGGCTACCGTTGGTTTGAGGCCTTCGTTGAAGAGGCCGAGATTCGCAAGCATCCTTACGAGATTGTTGATGAGATCGAGCACTTTCGTTTCGGAGCCTCCAGAGTACACAAGTCCACCTTTGCGATTTGGGCCTGGTTCGGCATAGCCCATCACTGGGTGGCGGTCAAAGTGTCGATCGTCCAATGCAGCGTTCCTTTACTCCTGAGCCGACCCGCTTTGGCCCGTTTGGGCACGACTTTTGATATCGAGGCTCAACAGCTCTCGATGACCCATCTTGGGGTGACCGGCCTGCCACTTGAGCAGAGCGATACTGGGCACCCGGCTTTGTCTGTGACTTCTTTCCCGTCTGGCAGTCCTCCTGATTTGACTGTCGGTACGGCTCAACAGATCTGGATTCCGGTCATTCGTGCATACATGTGTGAGCAGCCGCTTATGGAGGGTGGGTCGGAGGCCGCGTCGTTCCGCACCGTGTTCTACCCCAAGAAGGTCCCCCGGGAGATTGACAACTTGTTGAGGACTACCCCATTGGCATGCTCATCGTTCTTTTCTTGGTGGAAGGGTGCTAGTCAGAGTAAAGACTTCTGGGTCGAGACCGACGTCGAGATGATCCGGGTACATGTGAGCCCACGTCAGTATGGGTTCAATCCATGGGCATGGCAAACCTCAAATCCAAAACTCAAGAACGCCCTCTTGCAGTGTCTCACCGGTCATCGGGTCACAGAGTGTTTGCCATTATTTGAAGAGGGTGTGACGGTCCATGCAGTTGAGCATGTCCTTTCCCCGGATCGTGACGGCAAAGACATCGAGTTCTTTCAGCCTTTTGGACCTTGGATTGGACGCAGCCGCTTTTCCAAGACTCAGGCAAGTGGTGCGTCGGATCCGTCACGGCCCTTGCCTTATGCCGACCTCATCGACCCTTGCCACGCCATGGAAGATGAGAAAAGAGGACATCATCAAGGAGCTGGAGAACACCTACAACCTGCCGGTCAATCGCCGCTGGCTGCTGCCGGAGGTTCGAGCCATGCTGATCGAGGCCAGGAAGGGGAGCCAGCATCCGGAGGCCTCGAACGACCCCATGAAGGGCATCACCAAGCTCTCAGTGGCGGAACTGAAAGAGCAGGCGAAGAAGGAGGGCATTCCAGTGCCTTCGAAGGCCACAAAGGGGTGGTTGATCCACCAGCTCCGGGAGTCGCGCTCGACCCCAGCGGACACTGTGGTTCCCTTCGGCAAGTTCAAGGGCTGGCTATATCGCGAAGTACCTCCAGGATACCTTCGTTGGGCGGTGGCCGAGGCCAAGGAGAAGGCAGACGAAGCCCATCCGGATCTTCGCCGCCTGGCGAATTGGGCGAAGGAGGAGCTGGAACGTGTGGCCCAGACCAATCCGGCCACCCGTGCCTTGGTGAAGGATCCCGAAGCCTTGGCGAGCGTCCCAGTACCAACACTGGAGGAGCTGTCGGAGGGGCAAAGCTCGGCGTCAGCATGGAGCCGAGTGTCGTCCGCTCGTCCCGCTCCCAAGAGCTTCCATCCACCCAAGAGGACATCCCGCCGGAGCGACATGGAGGAAGACCTGGTGGACCTGACCGATGTCCCGGACCCGGCCGAAGAGATCCTGGTGCTGGAAGCTCGCCTTGCAGCACTCCGGAAGAGGCAGGAGTCCTCCCCGTAAGGGGGGGGGGTGACCATGAAGATGATGATCTCGAGGATGGCCACGTCTTCCTGTGCGACACCTTTGAGGACCCTGAGGACTATGAGGCAGCGTCTGAGGATGATGGCGCTGCCAAAGCACTACGCACTGAAGACAAGGAGGGTGGCCATGCCTACATGTTTGAGGACATCTATGAAATCCCCTTTGGAGATGAGCACGCGGAGAAGGAGCTCTTCGTGACTCAGCACTTGAGTCCCCGCGAGCGCGCCATCGCGGGCATCCGCCATAGGAAGCGGATGGGTGAGAACACTCAGAAGAGGTTGAGGCGCCATGTCAATTCGTTGGCCCAAGTTTTGATGGCATGCTCGGCACGTGGGCTGGTGAAGTGGTTGGGGAACCCGTTCAAGATCATCTATGTTCAGTGTTTCAGTCCTCCCACCACTTCTCGTCTTCGTCTCCTGACGAAGACATTCAACGCCTGGAGCTCTTTGCCGGGCAAGCGAGGGTGTCCGCCGCCTTTGCCAGGCGGAAACGCGGAGTGCTCCAACCTCGTGACCTCCGCTTTGGTCATGATTTCAAGCAGGAACACCATCGGTCTGAGGTCCTGTGCGAGATCCGTGCGCAACAGCCCAAGATGGTCTGGA